GTCTGACTATCCTGGGTTAGTCAAATTATTGTAACGCAACAGGGGTTCAGGTGGGCGCCCTTGCTGAATTAGGTCAGCCCCACACCGTCGGGGGCTCGAACCCGGGATTCCCGCATCACTCAGCAGGGACCCAGCCCGGTGAGCTAAAGAGAGATCTCTCCACAGCCCAGGGGCTGTGGTCCTGCTATTACTGGGAAGGGCGGTCACCTGCTCTGGTACGCCGGCTCTTACACAGTACCTGTCGGCCGTAAGCGTTACATTATAAAAGATCAAAAAGTGAGTTTCAACAAAGCTGCTTTAACCATTTTAATGCTTTTTGTCAAGGGAAAAGGTATGAAACATTTCACAATGGGGGAAAAAAGAGATTGTGCCATAGTTACGTTACTTGAGGAGAGGGAATGATTTAGAAGACCTTTATTTTCAAAGTCTGTTCCTTATAAGTTTTAAATCCAAATGTTTTTTTTTTAAACTAACTTCGGATTTATACAGTATAACACTGTTGTACAAACCCAACAAAGTTTATCCTGCAGACATAACACATCTACACTGATTTTCAGCTACACTGTGTAATAACTGTTGGACAGACATTCCCTCCATCGATCCATTTTCTAACTGTTTTATCCCATACAGGGTTGCAGGGGAACGGAGCCTTTTCTGACAAGCAACAGGCACAAGGAAAGAAATACGCCTTGGATGGCATTCCAGCCCATTGCAGTGCACATGCAAACTCAGAGATGTACACATTCACACCAGAGCAAATTTACCAGAAGTCAACTAACTGATCGGTATGTCTTTGGACTGTGGGAAAGAACTATGTACAGTCTAAACCCCATAGCTTGTACATCAGCAAGGCTGCATCACCAGCTGACTGGGTATCCTCAGCTAGCTGGGCACCAGTGAGCTGGCAGTGTGGTCAGCAAGAGTCATGTCACTCCCTCGCTTAGTGTTAACACTCATGCAAAGCACCATGGGAATCACACGGTAACAACTGACCAACATCACTGGCAAACACACAATCTGGAGAGAAAAAAGCTGTGAGATGTTTAATGTGGTCTTCTGTTTGAAATCAAAAACCACAGCTGCTACTGGTAAGTCAATTAGAAGTAGAACTAACATTTAACCTATATTATATTTGGTGCAATTTCCTAAAAAGTACTAGATCTGAGGCAATTTTGATTATATAAATCCTTTATTTAAAAACACAATCATTGATCAAGTCAAAATAAAAAAAACACCTTTAAATATGTGCTTGTGTACATTCTGTAATGAAAAACAGTTAATACAATCCAGTGCTCATTACACTTAAGACTTAATATATTTGATAATCGTTTTTACTTGTGCTGCCATGCCTGGAGCTGTCTGTCTGCAAATATGCTTTAAATTTTGAATGAGACCTCAGGCATTGCACTGTGCTGTATGCTACAGTATGCTTTATGACGATGTTTTATAACAATTTTACCCCTGTTCTGCCTACATACAGTACGCAGTGTTGAGCATGCAGGGTTCTATTGTAGGGTGATAATCAGTTCCTCACACACGTGCAGAGACACTGTTGACCCAGCATCAACAGCATTGGTACAGTGGTGCTCATTTATCCAATTCACACAGTGGGAGAGAGTAACTGTAGCAGTATAGAACCAATACTGGTAAAAAATTCAGTCAGTAAAGCTGATACTTGCACAATGAGAGCTGTGCTTTCACACAGGTTACATCAGCTGTGAACAAGCAATTACTGTTAATAGACAATGGCATTAAAAAAAAACGCCCACACTCTTTACTGTCTGTGGCTGGTGTTAGTATCTGGAACACTTCAAGCTGACCACTTCAGGAAGAAGGAAAAGAGACAGTCTTTAAGATTCCACAAACAAATCCTCAAGATCCGAACTTCTCAAACAGATCTTTCCTGGTTATTCTCTACCCATTCATCCATCCAACCATTTTCTAATTATTTCATCCAATTCAAGGTTGAGGGGCCAGCAACAGGCACAAAACAAGGTACACCCTGGATGGAATGCCAGTCCACCACAAGGCACACACACTGACCAGGGCCAATTTTCCCAGAACCCAACTGATCTACTACTATGTTTTTTGGACTTTTGGAGGAAACACTCAGAGCAAACACACACAAACATGTGGGGTGAACACAGAAAGCACACCAAGACCAGAAGTGAACCCAGGGCCTCAGCACTATAAGGCAGCAATGCGAACCACTGTGCCACTCTACAACCCTACACTCATACATTTTCTGTTTGTCAACCCTACAGTGCTTACTCCTATATGAGAACTGCCATTGCCTCAACCTGATTCTTGAAACTTTGAAATTACAACAAAAGTGGGTGCACAAAATTCCCCCCTCTTTGGTTATCCATTTTCCTCAGCTGTAAAGCTGGGAAGAAACCAAAGAGTTCACCAGCCAATGTCTCCTGTGTCTGGCAGGAACACTTTTATATGTCTATGAGTTGTAAAAGGCCTGTTTTCATTAGCTTCCACAAAGCAAGCTTTTAGCTCAGGGACTGGAAAGCAAACAGGTTTAGACTTGGAAGATAAATCCCCCTATACGATGAAAAACGACTGCACCAAAAATCTTTCGCAGCCTGAACTTAAATATTCCTGTGCTCCCGTTAAACACCTTATACTGTTTATATTAAGGAGCACAGTTTCTGAGGGTTTTATTTTTAGTAAATATGTAGATCACTTTTAAAACATTTTGTTGCTGTGTGTTTGAGTTAGTATCACAAGAATGCTCCCATCTGCTCTTCTTAGCAGAAGACACACAGAAAACAGGTACAGACTTAAAGAGTCAGTGAACTCATTACTGTACTCTACTATTTTAAACATCATTAACAAATCACAGAGTCTCTACTCCAGATCTCCTCAAAAGCAAAATGACTTAAGAAAAGGTGGGAGGGGTCATCTAAGTTGGCATCATCTGATGTCTTTAGAAATGTTAATTCCATACTGATCTGCTGCCCTAGATCAGTTTAACACCATCTCCAGCAGGCAGTGATCCGAGAAGGCCAGTCCAACCTACCAGGCTGTAGCCCTTGAGGACCAGAGCTGCCACACCACTTACCACCTTTGCTTTTGCCCCATGAGCTGCTTGAGACTGTCTTTGCATCTGACACCTACCTTTCCTGTCACCTTACTGCCAAGTTACAGCTCTCATCCTGTCCCTGCACTGGTGAAAAAGGGCTCAACACATAGGATAGCATTCCACCTCTTAGGAATTCATTAGATTCATTACACCACTTTGCAATGCTACAAAGAATCTCTACCAGATCTTAACTGGTATAAGCAGGAATGTCTAGGCTCAATAAGCCAACAAATGGCACCAGCACACACACAGCAAACAGGCTAATTCTCCAGGATGGATGTCTACAAGGTGACCTACTGTACACATAGCTCATACATTAGAAGACTCCAGAAGACAGATAAAAGATCAGGCTGATGTCACCATAGTTGCGCTCCATCTTCCTGCACACACTGGCAGCATCCAATAATCAGAGCTCTCTTGTGGGCTTATATGATCTGGTCAGAGTGGTTGACGAGAAGAATCTCTTAAATCCACTGTTCATACGTGGAACTGTGAGCACTTAGGTTTGAACAGGGCATTTTTCAATTGGGAAAAACACTGAACAGCTTAGAAAACATCAACGTGCACACACAAAAGCCAAAATAGTTTTGTTAGCTTCAGGACTCCTATAGTTTTGGCAAAGTTGCTCTTTTGCAAGGAAATTACTTTCTTAATCTCTGCGTGTAGAGGGCTTATAAATATTAAATACAGCAGCACAAGACTCAGGACAGGCACAGGAGAGAGGAGGGGCTCCTCATAAAGAAAATGAAGGGGCTGCCATCTCTGTCTACAGACAACATTTCAGACAAAATCACAACACTGTTCGTGGCAAGGCGCCAGGAAAAAAGGCTTTACACATAGTAACAAAATAACAAATACACTTCAGTCAGTTCTCTGTTGTATTCCAGGAAAGGAGCGCACATGAGTGCTATGTGCGAGCGTGCTGTGGGGGAGTAATTAGGAGCATGAGGTCTCATCACTTGTACAAAGTCACGTTTTTGGTCTCACAAAGACGTCCTCTCGCCAGGAGCTGGAACTAAGAAAGAGCTTTGAATCTGTCACAGCTGTTGAAATGAGAACCAGCTGAAAGATTAGAGCTGATCCCAGTCAAAGTCAAAACCTTTATGATGGACAGATGCCTGTGTCCACTTGGCCAACCTGATCTCTGTGCAGATTCTGAGCTCCTCAAGCATGTGCATCCTTCATCAGGAGGGGGCGCCGGTGTTGGTAAGTCGTTGCCCAGCCCTGGACAACCTAGACAGACATAAAGGGCATGTTAAAACACAGAACAAGCCCCCTTTTACAACTTTTATAAGAAAGGAAAAGTAAGAAGATTCTTGTAGCATAGACTTTTAAGCCTGTGTCTGGTACAGTATTACAATCTGCGGGTTCTTAGATAGCAGGGTTGTTATCTTGTTTTGAGTAACACAAAACTGAGAGATAAGAAGTTAAAATTATATGGGACTTAAGCAGTACAAATTGTTTCTGACTCTGCTGTCCATAAAAATGAAGACTAAGTGGGGCTTTTCCAGCTTTGTGCCTGCATCCATCAGCCTGCTGAATTCTAAGTGTTTTCCTACATCCTGTGCTCCACCATAAAAAAGGAGATGTTTAGATTTATGGACACATTTCCTCACCTCCCTCCCCCTTTTCCACCTGCTTCTTTATATTTAATTAAACTGTTTTATAATATTAGTTGACAATGTAAAAATATAAATACAGTAAAATTACATTTTACTCTGGACAATTACACAAATACAGTGGACTTCTTTTAATATTATGTGATCTGTTTATCTCTCATACAAGTAGCATAAGGTTTTTTTCTCTGTTTGTATGCTGGAAGGATAATAATAATAATAATAATAATAATAATAGCTTACACTTACATAGCGCTTTTCTAGACACTCCACTCAAAGCACTATACAGGTAATGGGGACGCCCCTCCACCACCACCTGGATGATGCGACAGCAGCCATAGTGCGCCAGAACGCTCACCACACACCAGCTATCAGTGGGGAGGAGAGCAGAGTAATGTAGCCAATTCATTCTTAATGTACCGGCACCACAAATGAAGTTCCTTGTGAAAAAATAACTATCTTCAAAGTCTATGTCTAAATGGCCCAAGTCACATTAAACTACGATGACCATATCAACTCATGTTCACCGGACACTTTTCAGACTCTGCCTTTAAATTGAAAATCTTTAATGGGAATTGTTACACCCCAGTGTGTGGTTTGTGGGTTTTTGTTGTTATGTTCCACACTTCTGACTTTGATTGCTCTCCCTTCCCCATTGGCCCACCATTACACCACTGTTTCCATATGACATCATCTTCAATTAGCTTCTCGAGCAATCACAACTCATCTTATTCAGTATAAAACATGGAGGCCTTCAGAAGGAAGGGGCCTTTTGTTTGACTTTGGTCCTGCTTGGCTTTGGTTTTCACTTCGGCTTTGCTGGTTTGTTGCTTTGCTATGTGTGTATGTGTGTATGTGTGTATGTGTGTATGTGTGTATGTGTGTATGTGTGTATGTGTGTATGTGTGTATGTGTGTATGTGTGTTTTCCTATAGCTTTGGCTTTGTTGTTTTGTTGGTTTCTGTTCGTCTCTTTGTACTTCTGTTTGTTTGTGTTATCCTTATTTTGCCATTACCTTGCCCAAACTTGTTATTGTATCAACCTTCGGTAGCCTGTTACTTGTCTACTCTCATTTGTATTCCTATTTCACTTGTGTATTTGTGTGAACTTTTGTGTATAGAGTTAGTTCAGGTTGTTGGGTACATTTTGCACACACGTAGTTGATTCGTGTATTAGTCACATTAGTTTAGTACGGGTGAGTGCCGTTTGTCTTGTGTGGTTTTGGGTAGTCAGTGGAGGTTAGCTAGGGTGTTGAAGACCCCGAAGACCGTGTGTTTCGGGTTTTCTTTTGTAGTCAGGTTAGCTTTCTCTCACTTTTTTTTTTTAGCCAGCTCCATTTTGTTTGTTATTTTATTTTCTTTGGCGTCACTCTAGTTCCTTAGCCCTGTGTGTTATTGTGTCCAATTTTGAACCAGTCACTTATTCAACTTAAAATTGTCACTTTTGCACCAACCCTTGCTATCATGCTTCCAAGTCCCTCGCCAGAACCCACCTGCTTCCAAAAATTATCCTAAATGTTACACCCCTTTACCCCTAGACACTTGGGGTTGTAACAGGAATCAAATGGTATTTAAAATCTTTAATCTAATGGAAACTGTGACATACTTAATAGTGACCAATGTTACAGGGCTTCTGAAGATAGGTATTGAGCACTGATTTTCATTTCATCAGAGACATAGCTCTGACTTTACACTTTCAAGCCTTTCAATTTAAGGGTAACTTATAACCCACCTTGTCTGTCCCATACAGTCACACAGTATGGTCACGTTGTGCCATTAGGGGGAAACGAGATCTTAATTCCGAGACACGTAGTGATCAAGGGAAAGAGACATTCTGTGCATTTAATTACCACCAACTGAGTAAGGTTTCCAGTTTCATTCTTTTATTTTAATGAAAATAATAGTGAATGGTGCTGGTGTGACGAGCGGGGTTGAAGAGTGAGCAGCAGAAGCTCCGGAGTCGCTGGCTTTGGGTCAGGGCACTGCTGTGAGCTGACTGTGCCCAGGATGGACAGCTAGTGGCTGGGGGGGCATCTGGGCTGGCTGAGCACCACTGGGTAAAGTGGGCTCAGGTCAGGCCAGGGGATCCTCGCCCACACAAAGGGGTGCCTGGGACTGGCCGGGCACCTGTTGGCTCTCTGCGTTGGCAGACGGAGCTCACCCAGGCAGTGTCTGCTCCGCAAGAATGGCATAAAAATGACAGATCGTTCTGAGAAGAGCCCATCTTTGGAGAAAAGGGGTGCAAGTGTCTCACCCCCCCCCCTGCTGGGCCCGTCCCACCAAGTTGACTGACACATGCCCTTTCTCAGCTGGCATTATGCAATAAAGAGAAAAACTGCCAGATTAACATTTAACATTTGGGCAGAGCGGTGGCTCTGTGGCTAAGGATCTACGTCTGTGACTGGAAGGTTGCCGGTTCAAATCCCATGGCTGGCAGAGGAATCCTACTCCGTTGGGCCCCTGAGCAAGGCCCTTAACCCCAACTGCTCCAGGGGTGCTGTATAATGGTTGACCCTGAGCTCTGACCCCAGGCTTCTCTCCCTGTCTGTGTCTCCTTGGAGAAAAGCTGGGGTATGCGAAAAGACAAATTCCTAATGCAAGAAATTGTATAGGGCTAATAAAGAAATATTATTTATATTTTATAATAATGCTGCACCAGTATAAGTATAATCATATTAAATTGAAGCAGAGAAGACTTACAAACCAGCTGGGATTGCTTTGTACATAGAACTTGTACCATACAGCAAACTGAAACGTGATATACAGACATTTTTTGTCCTAACGCATCTCAAAATGCCTTGTCTATAAAGGTATTTCTTCGCTTTTCTTCAGGGTAACACCATAGCAACAGACATCACACGTTCCAATCTTTGAAGTCAGCATCCAAAGCTCTTTGATACTTCTGCTGCTGGCAAGAGAAGCTCTTCCTGCTTTTACATCCCTGCAGCTGCCACAAGGGAAATACCAGCTCAGACACAATTTACACCTCCTCCCGTCTCTCCAATCAACATTGCATTCATGTGCACTGAAATTATTAAGACTGTACAGTGTATGTACAGATTACTAGCATCCTTCTCAGCACCTGTGGGTTTCATGTAAACTAAAACAAATATCTGAAATTTGAAATGAGGAATTAAACAAAAACTGAAATTAGGAATTAAAAATGAATATTAATTCCTTAATCCACCCAAACTCTTGTTCCACTACAGGGTACGGGAGAGCCTGGAGCCTAGCAAGCAATGGGCTTAAGGCAGGTCAAACCTTGGATGGGACGCCAGTCTATTGCAGGGCACACACACACACTTACAGCAGTGCAATTTTCCCAGAAGTCAATTAACCATCCAGCGTGTCTTTGGACTGTGGGAGGAAACAGGAGCACCCAGAAGAAAACCACATGAATACTGTTAGATCATACAAACTCCACGCAGATAGCACTGCAGGACTTGAAGCCAGTGCCCCAGTGCTGGAAGACAGCAAGGCTAATCACTGGACGCCACTCTACCACCCTCATTCCTTAATCTATTTTTAATAAGCTTATTTTTTTACTGTAGAGAATTTCTTAAAATAAATTGTCTTAGAAAAAGCTAAGAGTAAGAAGGGCAATCAGAATAATTTGGTGTCTAATGCCATACACAGTTACGTTAAAGGAACTGAATCTCTTTCAAAGACTCTTTAGAACAGGCCCAGATGGGAATGACACTCTAAGACCATATATACCATATGCCAGCAGCCATTTCACCCTGCAACTCACAACTGGCAACCCACTGAAGCTCAGCAGGTGTGAGCCTGGTCAGTACCTGGATAAGAAACCTCCTGGGAAAAACTAAGGTTTCTGCTGGAAGAGGTGTTAATGGAGCCAGCAGGGGGCGCTCAACCTATGTGGTTGTAATGCCCCAGTATAATGACAGGGACACTATACTGTAAAAAGGCGCCGTCCTTTGGATGAGATGTAAAACCAAGGTCCTGACTCCCTGACTCCCTGTGGTCAAGAGTAGGGGGTGTAACCCTGGTGTCCTGGCCAAATTTCCCATTGGCCCTTACCATTCATGGCCTCCTAATAGTTCCCAACTATTTTGGGGCTTCATTAATTGGCTTCATTACTCTGTTCTCCTCCCCACTGATAGCTGATGTGTGGTGAGTGTTCTGGTGCATTATGGCTGCCGGTGCATCATCCAGGTGGGGCTGCACACTAGTGGTGATGCTGGGGAGTCCCCATTACCTGTAAAGTGCTTTGAGTGGAGTGTCCAGAAAAGCGCTATATAAGTGTAAGCAATTATTAATTATTATTTAGACATCCCCACAATGGGAGTAACTCCATTGGACACATGCCCACAGTGGGAGACTGTAATGCACATTTTTTTGTGCTGCTGCCAAAATCCATTTGCTTATATTTCAGGCAACACAACTGAATGAGAATGAGACAAATATGCCTGATATAGACAACTGAATTTGATTAACCTGTGATTAACAGGTTAGCTGTGCCAAAAATAGAAAACACAGTGCTCTTCCAATATCAGTGTTGGCAACCACAGGTCTACACAAAGCTTAGTTAATTCATTCCTTACACTTATATAGCTCTTTTCTGGACACTCCACTCAAACCACTTTACAGGTGATGGGGTCTCCCCTCCACCACCACCAATGTGCAGCTCCACCTGGATGCGATGGCAGCCATAGTGACCAGTACACTCACCACACATCAGCTATCAGTGGGGAGGAGAACAGAGTGATGAAGCCAGTTCAGAGATGGGGATTATTAGGAGGCCATGATTGGTAAGGGCCAATGGGAAATTTGGCCAGGACACCAGGATAACATCCTATTCTTTTAGAGAAACACCCTAGGATTTTTAATGACTTTTAGTGATGAGAAAGTCAAGCAACTGAATAAGGTAAAGCTGCAACAGATATGTGTCGAAGTCTTCCCCACTTTGAGTGTGGTGGTTTATTACAGTCCTGTTACTGCCTGGTCCAGTCTGCTCATTTTCAAATATAGCAGTGGCTGTTCACGCAGATGTCCTAAGTGGTAGAGAAAATGTCTCTCATCTATTACACATATGCAAAAAAAGCAAGAGGATGACCCTGCTTTATGAGAGATGCCAGACATGCAGTGAAGATTGTCTTATAATAATGCAGAATACTATACCTTCATCATGCAGCCCGAGTTCAGTGAAAGCAAAATGAATGTTACACGTCTCTGAGTTTCTTCTTGTTCCACACCACCACCTTGTGTCTAAGAAGCTGAACTGCAACTGCTTTCATTTCAGCAGTAACATGTACAGTACCTACTGCACCTAAACTACCTATAAAAGGTAGTCTGGCCAGTAAATTGTCCACTTTCAACCAAGACTGCTGCACATCAGGCAACTGTCGTTGTATACTACTTCATCTTGGCTTCCCTAAATGAACATTTCTCGCAGGAACTGAATTCAGAACAAAAGACTAGAGACATGTTTTCCATAGAGCGTTGAGTGCTGGAAACACCAAATTAACACACATGCCAGCTGCTGATATATCTGTTTTGAAAGGCATGCCTACTTAAAGACCCTAATGTTGCCATGCAAACCTCGGCAATCCTTAATGGCTTTTATTTCTTTTGCACCCTCTGCTCAAAATAATGTTCAAAATAACGATTAAAAAATGGAGAGGTTTTAGTTCCGTTTCAATTATCCTGATAACCAAATTAGTAGTATCTTACATCAAACTGGGATTCACACAAAGGAGGCAGTCTATTCTCTCTAAGAGCTGTGCGGGCAGTTTTACCAAGACTCAAAGATATATCTGTTTTCCGGCCTGCTGAGTAAATTGAATCTGTGAGAAAAGCGCAAGTATCCACATCTTGGCCCTGATCCACTAATTCGGATGCTTGTTTTTCAGAACTGCTCTTGTTGCCGGGGCAACTTAAAAACTCAATGGTGAGCATTCAGATTCAATAAAGCCGTTTTTTGTTTTTAAAAAAAAGAATGCTTCAATCAATGGGCACAGCTCACGTTAAGGCATTTTCACACAGAAGCTCTTAATATGTGGTGAGAGCACGCTGTACGTCACACCACCCAGCAGAGGGCACACTGGCTGTCTGGGGGAGTGTGCCTCCCCACAGGGACAAATAAACTAGGTTACTCATTTTGCTCCTTGCTTCTGGCTTTGTAAAAAAAGCGCTCCCACAAAAGTCCTCATATGAGGTGTTCAATAAGTGGTTAAATGGGTTTCCTGTTTTCAGACAAAGTCCAAGGATAAGAATGAGTTCAGTTCATCCAGCTTCTTCTATTTTTATTTCTTACAGAATCAGAAAGTGGTAGCCAATAGTAGTGTTACTACTTTCATTTTCCACCGAGTTATTTTTGTCTTTGTGTTTTAATGAGAGATTCTATTATATTGCTACATTTGCCGTCCTTCGGATGAGACGTAAAACCGAGGTCCTGACTCTCTGTGGTCATTAAAAATCCCAGGGTGTTTCTTAAAAAGAGTAGGAGTGTATCCTGGCCAAATTTCCCATTGGCCCTTACCAATCATGGCCTCCTTATGATCCCCAACTATGAATTGGCTTCATTACTCTGCTCTCCTCCCCACTGATAGCTGATGTGTGGTGAGCGTTCTGGCACATTATGGCTGCCATCGCATCATCCAGGTGGATGCTGCACATTGGTGGTGGTGGAGGGGAGTCCCCATTACCTGTAAAGCGCTTTGAGTGGAGTGTCCAGAAAAGCACTATATAAGTGTAAGCAATTAATTATTATTATTATTATTATTATTAATATTAATATTATTATTTAGAGGTGATTTTGAAAACGAGCACCACGTAATTCAGTTAAGATGCCCAGTTAAGACTCAGATTCAGTGTAACACTTGTTTCTTATTCCGATTTGTGCAGACAAAGTACTGCAACAAATGTGAATAATTCTTTTGAGGAGATATTCTCGGAATAAGGGAACAAATGAAATCTGTCCCTGGTTCATCTTCATGGCCAATAATCATTCATATTTCGTCACCTACAGTATGAAGCCGTCTTGTGAGTACAAACATTAGTAGTTAGGACTGACCTCTTTGCCAATAGTATTCTACAGTTTTAAAGGCACAGAGAGGACATAGAAAGAAACAGGTCAATTTTAGAAACAGCGGGCACCTTTGTGTCTTCATCCCTCCAGAGCATTTCCTGTTCGGCCTCGTTGAGCTCCTCCGACGGGTCGTAGGTGTAAACAGGGAGCAGCTGATGACGTAACCTGTCGATCCTAAAACACACAAGCACAAGACACGGTTCAGGGCTCAGATATTTAAAAACGAAGCTCTCAGGGATGGAAGCTGCTTCTCCTGAGTTGAAAACCACAGATGGTGGCACGAACTGGAGCCCTGGGTTCAATTCCTGGGGGAGCTACATGAATGTAATATTGTATATTCTCCCCATGTTTGTGTGGGAGAGCACCTACAGGTGCTCCAGTTTCCTACTGCAGTCCAAAGAAATGCTGGTAGATTAACTGGCTTCAGGAAAAACTGGCCCTGGAGTGAGTGTGTGCGTTTGTGTCTGCGTGTGGCCTGTGATAGACTTGCGTCCCGTTCAGGATGTGTCCTGCCCTGATCCTGTTGCTTGGTGGAAGTGGCTCAGGATCCCCTGCGACCCGGAATTGAATAAAGAGTTAAGAAAAGGGACAGATGAAAACCACAGGTGACAAGGAGAAGACATTAGTGCTGGTTCTTTACACACAGTACTTTGGCAATGGCCTTCTAAATTAGAAAGGTGCAATGAGCAGCTGAAGAGTAAGTAAAGTGGTATACGCACACAGCATTTCTAACCAGACCTTTCCCGCAAAATGGATCAGAATGAACAGTAGCATCCGAGAACAGAAGTGCTGCCTACACCTGCTGACGTGCAAGACCTGCTTCAGAGTTTCAGAAACGAATCTCTCACGTGACACCACACACCAGGTATCATGGAGTGGACGGGATTGCTTCTCTAGATTGCAGTCTGTTCAGAAACACATGCAGTCCTACGATTCATGGGTGTGTCGATACTGACAACTGGACAGAGAAAGACCCAACATGTCAGGAAAATGTTGTAGAGATTCCAAGGACAGAAGGTTTGTCCATGCGTCCATTTTTGTCATACTGTTGCAAAACTATGCACCCTGTTGGTCTTGTGCGCCACTTTGCTCAGACAGCTGACTTCAGGTGCTTTCCTTGCACTTTGCCACATGTTGCACTGGTGACTGACAGCAGCACTTTGCAGCCCAATCTGGTTAGATCTCAGAAGCTCAGCCAGGCTGGGCCTGGTCAGTGCTGGACTGGGAGACAGAGGACCACCACTGTTGCTGCTTTTAGCAGTGTTGGAAGACCAGGAAGGGGCGCTTTTCCTTGTGCGCCAGATTTTCCCAAACCTTGCCCCAGTATGGTGTACAGACCTTCAGATAGGACAATCCTTAAAGTATCCTTAGACACTTTATGAAAGACTTGGGAGTGTTAACACCAATGTCCAGGATAAATTCCACTCAGGGCGTACACAATCTGACCCACCTAAATTTCTACCTTAATTTGACTGCTGAAGTAATTTCTCACTCCCCCCTTTCATCTGCTGGAGCAGAATGGGTGCTGTGTGTCACCCAGGCAGGTGTTGCATTTCAGAGGTGGGTGAAGTGGGTCCAGTCCTGCAGCACCCTCCAAAGGTATAAGACCAGCAGTCAAAACTGTACTTATCAGTTTTAAATCAAGCATTTTGTGATCTATCCTTCTTATAATCACTTTATAATCCAATACAGGGTCAAAGGAGAGCTGGAGCCTATCCCAGCAAGCAATGAGCATAAGGCAGGATACACCCTGGACAAGATGCCAGTCCACTGCAGGAAACACAGAAACAAACACTCACACCAGGGCTAATTTTCCTAAAAGCTAATTAACCTACCAGTATATCTTTGGGCTGGAAAGCCATATGAACGCAGATACAACATACAAACTCCACACAGATATTACATCCAGAAATGAACCAAGGGCCCCAGCACTGCAAGGCAGCAATGCTAACCACAATACAACTAAAATGAACATCACAATTTATGTTTTGATTTTGGGTAAATCCATGCAAATATTGTACTTGATCATATTATATGAAAAACGTTTGAAAAAAGCCTGTGTTCATCACAGTGATTTCAAGTGACCGCAAGTACTGGGGCACATTCACTTTAAGTATACAAGTAGATTTAGGATACAATGGTTATTTTACAGTATTTGTAGCAATATTTTGAATTTTGAAGCAATAACTGCATGTAGTCTGCGGCCCAGTGAGCTTGTCACAGTCTTTGTGTGATTATCTGAGATGCCTTCCCAAGCCTCAATTCAATTTGAGTCTGGAGATTGACTTGACAATTGTCAGTCTAAAACACTTTAATTAAATTGCTAAGCTGACAAGCCGCTGCACTACACAAACTGCATCAACCTGACTTACTGATGCCCACTGTTATTTGTGTCACGTCTCAATTAGACTCTCACGGTTTGTATTAGAGGACTGGTTTGTGGGTGAGTGTCTTTAACCCCATTCCCTCTACTTTCACAGCTGTCCATGGGATGGGGCAACTTCACTTGTCCGGCCTGTAAACAGATAATGTAATATACCAGCAGGGCCACCAGCTGGGTCAAGTCAGGGTAATAGACTCATCTGAGTCATCTATGTTTCCTGAAGCCTGGAAAACACAGGGTCAAACCCTGTCTATGCAACATGGGTGCTGTCAGTGGGGTTCAGCTGGGCAGCCACACCTTTCCACCCACAACTGGGGCACTTGCTTGTTTGTGTTGTAACCAGTAAGAGCTGTGTCAGTTTTCCCTCCAACACAGCAGCTCTGTGACAGTGTGAACAGAGGCCTGGCTTAGCATTGTGTGATTCACAGAATGGATTCTGTCCTGTCAGAGGCCTGTGTTCTCTTTGTGTCTTTTCACAATGTGAGGAATCAGGAATGCTTACCTTCTCTTTTTCTGGATGTACATCACCTGTAAAGAGAGTAAAAATGTAGATTGATTAGATATAGGTACGAGAAGCATTATTGTTCAAGCATTATTATCATCGCTTTATTTGATACAGGGCTGTGAGGGAGCAAGAGCCTATCCCAGCAAGCACTGGGCACAAGGGAGGACACACCCTGGAAGGGATGCCAGTCCATTGCAGGGCAGACAATGACACAGTCACACACACGCACACACGCACATCCAAGGCCATTTATCTAAGAAGACAATTAACCTACCAGCTTGTATTTGGACTGTGGGAGGAAACCAGAGCACCCAGGGGAAACCCATGTGAACTTGGGGAGAACATACAAATTCCACACAGACAGCACCCCAGGAATTGAATACCCCAGCGCTGTGCTAAACAGCAAAAGTAACCACTGCGCTACAGTGCCACCTTCAACTTTATTTTAAGTGGAATGAAAGTTTCTTTAAATTAAAAATGGTACAATAAATTGATGAGGGAAGCAGAGTGCAGTCACCACTGTGGACCTGATGTTGTACCTTGAGTGAGGTAGTTCACCCCATTTTCTCCAGTAGAGACAGCTGTATAAATCTGAACCAGCACTGCTGGGGGGTTACTCTGTGATGGGCCAGTGTCCCATCCAGGGAAGAGTCACATGCACTCAGTCTACTTACTGCTACAGACACCTGATGAGTCACTGTGGCTCAGATACAGAAATTGCCTATCTACAGTTAAAAAGCCATCATCATTATACAGAAAGACGGGAGCCTCATAAAGCACAATAACTTCAAAGATTAACCTGCAAACAACTATATAGAAACTGTTTATTTTTACAAAGCTTACAATCCAAACAGAAAGTAAAATTTAAAGAGAGTAAAAGGAAGGGAAACAATCATTCCCCCAGTGTAACTCAACACTCAGACTGAGGTTCTGTATTTTGTTTGAGGTCCTGTATTTGTACTTTTCTCCCCTAATAACAAAAGATACAAAGTACCGTCCACCTTCCCCAGAGAAGCAACAGCTACTCATCGAACAACGAGCTTGTTCTTAATTCAAGTGCGGCAAGATACTTATCACCTGATCTTGTAGTCTGATTTTTAGAAAAATTACATTAAAATTGAAAAGACTGTACTATAAAACAGAACAGGAAGTTTCTTAGCCAAGGGTACACTCCAAATTCTTCAGGCTCCAGTTTCTTTAAGTGAAGGAGTCTGTCAGCTCCACACTGTGCCCCAGCCCCCCCAGTAGCCTGTACAGGAGCAGAGCCCGAACACTAGAGCTGTTGATTAGATATCCGTAGCTTCTATTCTTCTCTTCCCTTACCGGTCTTTCTGTTTTCACGTCACACCCAGAAGCAGAACTGTGGTGCCCATTTCACTCTTCTCAGGAAGACCCAAAAGCCTTATTGACACTTTGCAAGTCAAGCCCTGACACACCTTAAACCTGGTGTGCCAGGAGCAGGTCTCAGAACACTTCAATACTTTTCACATGTGTTTGTTATAAGCAGAGTACCCTGTAAGTAGAGCATGGTAACGCCAAATACAGTACACCAATGCTAACAGGACCCCTCCCACCTACCCCAGCTGCGGCGACCCCAACGATGGTGATCAGGAAGAAAGGCACCAGAATGTAGCTGATCGCCGCGTCTCCGTTGACCGCGGGAGACGGCGGGCTGGTGGAGTTCATGATTGTCACGCTTCTCCTCCAGGTGGGGGCTGCCTCTGCTGTCCCGCTCTCCTCCCCCCCCCCCTTGAGCTCAGAGCCTGGAAGGGTTAATGGGAGACCTCCTGTTTGTGCACACAGCGGGGCTGTCTCTGCGGCTGGGGTCCTCTCCTGGCACGGCCAGAGTCTTGAGACCAGAATTCTTCTGGTCTCATCCTCTGGGCTCATGTGATCGGCGCATGGCTCTCCCCGTCGCTAATCAGTGTGAAATCGTGCTGCCTCGGGGAAGCTGGGAGGAGGAACCACAACAGCAAGGATCTCAGTCTGTGGCTGACATAGGAGACTTGCTACTTCAAATACAACAATACAAAGGCAACTGTATTAAATGTGAAAGTCAGAGACACAATGCAAGCTTCCTGCTATTTAATTCAGCTTTATGCTGCTATTTTTCTTTTAAAAGAAGAATTACTTCACACCCTGTGCACTCTTCTTATTTTTTCTTTTTCCTTGCTGTCCATCCCCGTTAATAATTATCTGCAGAAAATGTAACTCTAGCCACTCTAGAATAGTCTGACTATTCTGGCTGCGGAACTCCTTTACAAAGAGGGGACTTCAGAGCCGACGGTCAGGAAGTGTGACGGGGAGGGTGTCCGTCCATGAGACAGACAGGGATACCTTCCTGAGAACTTACAACTCGAGGTAGTAGAGCTCACAGCTCCAGTGGGTACGAGGGTATAGGCTCGGGAGTCCGCATTGGATGCTACAGACACTTTAAGGGACGTTTTGAAACAGCAGGTAAAAGGGACTTTAAGAGAATTGATTCATGCAAAATGCTATGATGCTATTTTCTCTCCATAAACGTCATAGTAATTATAAGGGTTTCACCGATATAGTACTTTCAATTATTGGACTTCGTGCCTTAATAACAGAGATACAAGTACAAAAACAGAGATAATAAAGATGAAAGGATACCATCGCGTCATTAACAAGGTATTCGTATTTTGTCATGCATAGACTCAAAAAGAATCATTCATTTGACATAATGAGCTATTTTTATTACATTTTTTACCGACTGCCAGTTCTGCAAAAACAGTATTGCGTCTGCGAACTGTCTGCTGTTTATCGTAGCACACGCACCGGCCATAGTGATAGAAACGATACTCACCTGCTCCCACCCAGACAGCCCGGCACAGCCTTGGTAACCAGGAAGCAAGAGTCTCGCCGTGATTGACAGCGAAGCGCCACGGTGGGTTAGTGACTGAATAGGGTGTGGGGGTGGAAATCGTTCAGCGTCGGCCAATGGATTTCCGTCACACGACGTGCAAGCCCAGCAGCGGGGAGCTGCGGACGTGCAGTATAGTCAGGTGCTTTCCTGTGCTACTCTTGGCGAGTGCTGTCACTCTACCAGCAGAGAGCAGCAGCGCCTTTCGTTTTGTCCCCCTTTGTCATCCGTGAAGCGTTTCTAAAGGATACAACGGTGTGTAGGGTCAGCGTTTTTCTCCTGAACGTTAAAGGCAATTGCAATGCAAACACACACATGGCTTAAATTCAACTAAAGCATTACTCATGAAGTACAACTGAATATACATCAATCTGCTATGACAATAATTGACGATAATGTCATTGTCACAAAGATGATCATGATAATTTACTAAAGAAATGTGGCGGAATCTTTATTCGGTGCTCCTAGGAATTCTAACTTCAGAAATGGGCCCGCGAAAAACAAGAAATTCTCCTCAATATGTATTTCTTAGTTTACTATTTCCTTTAATGATAATACTCGATCAATTCTGGTACGCCTCAATCAGCTTAATGTTATGATTTTTAAATCTTTTCAAAGCTGGTACAAATAGGAACAGACCTAGACCCGTTCGAAATGGGAGTGCAGGGACAGTCAAGGAACGGGTTGTCCAAACTGAATACAGCCGTCTTTGCTAGAGCAGTATAAATGGAGTTAGTATTTTACAGTCATGTCGAGCTACTGTCGGAGACTAGGAACTAAGAATCCTTGTGTTGCCGTGCTCGAGTATGTTATGATCCAGACGAAAATGAGAAAGCAGGTTCCTCATATTTGCAGAACGGAACTTAAACTAGTTTTTTTTTTAATTACTAGTTCTTAAGCGGACATACGGTACTCTATTTTAACAGCTAGACTTAAGCCGACCAAGTTTGTGTGAGTTACGCCTTCCCCACCGACTCGACTTGTAGATGGAGTCACTGTACAGCGGGATGAGCATCTTGTGTGAAATCGTGTGACGAAATCATGGCTAGTTCAAACAATTCCATCTTGCCATCATTAATCTTTTAAGATTTGTCTTTTCAAGACCATGTCTCATCAAGATCAATGATATATGTACAGTCTTAATTTAACATGCCATTATTTTGTGTACTTTACCATTTGCAATATCTGTTTTCTGTTTATCATACATGTCTTGATATGTTCTTTTTTCTATTTTGTATATATATCATGTGTCTATTTCTTGTATTTTGTCAGTTGTGTCCTGTCCAGGGATTACGATGTAAATTAGGTTTGTAACTCTGGTCCATCTTGAGGCACTTGTGTGCTGTCACAGTTCAATAAACGAAAACTAAAACAGTTCTCGCTCACTTTGCTGCTGTGAACTTGTTAATGTCTCTGTCGTGTAGGAGGAATGTCTTATATTTCTTGGGGTCCAGTCCAGTAATAAATTGGTCCGGCAGCGATCTGTAGCACCTGCTATGTGTACTACAGTTCCTCTATTCTTCCCTGTACATTTTCTCCCTGACAGCAAACTCACTCTCGTGGGAACTGGTTCTGTTCCGGTGTCGTATCCAGTTCAGAAAACCCCTGGATATCTGTGTCTGCTCCCGAAGGCGCACACTCTAGAATCAAAGTTGCATTGGATCTTCGATATTCAATTTCTAACATGCGTACCGAAACTCGTGCTAATTTCCCATATTTGTATACAAACCAAAATGTTTTGAAGTAACCACTTGGAACCTTATTTGTTTATATCTTTAAATATGAACCAATAATGAATATGTTCACTTAATTTGTTAGTTATTATGGGTATAATACAAATATAGTAACAGTTATAATATTTTGAAATGGTCACTCCATACGTGAATGTGTATAACCATGAATGGAATGTAATGTTAAAACTATAAAATGTTCAGAATAAGGAAGCTAAACGAGCATGTGCTATTCTAAATTCGGTTGCCTAGTAATTGAATACCTCTGGCACTTTGTTTAACAATTATACAGTTCTCATATGTTTTTCTCTTGTTGCAGTATTTGTTAAAAACATTCCAAATCGACAACCTTGCTGTTGTTTCTTATTTAAATTACTTCTTGCGTCAGCAGCAATTTCTAAATAAAACTGCATTCAATTCCAGAATGCACATTCTGTACAATAGTCCATTATATAAAAATAAAATTTGCAGACGAATTTCTCTGTAATCTTAATTTTGGCTAGTCTTGCGAGTCCTTAACCTGACATTTCTTCTCGGCCTAATTTGAAAACAAAAAGCAAAATAATTCTAAGCAATGAAAAGTGTTACATTGGAGCCGTGTAACGAAGACTCCCCTGAAACAAGATGTCCGTTGGTCATAAAAAAGTGGGCCGTTTGTAAATTACAGTAGTGAACTAGAGCTCTAACGACCGGCGGGGTTGCGGGCTCAAGCCAGCGTTGTTGTAACCTTGAGCAATACTTCCATCAAACTGCTCGAGTTCGTGTTCAGTTGTAAAATTATATATTAGTGAAAATAAATGAATAATCAAAACAAGTCGCTTCATTGAGGAGTCATTGTTCCTCTAACAGTGTCGGCTCGAGCCTATCTCCCTCCAGCAGCACGCCGACCGTGTATGTGGCAGCCGTTGCCTTCTGTGTTCAGTATGTGTTATATTTCCCATTTCTTCTTTCACGCGTTTTCGCCTTTCCACTAAATTGCACAAAACAGCAACGCTGTCGGGTTTGTTTAACCCGACACGGTGTTAACTCGGGCTTTTATTTCGAGGCAGGAATGTATGTAAGGGGGAGGGTTGGCTGACAGGTGTCAATCAAACCCACAGCTCTGGAGAATCGCTGTCGACAGGTCTTGGCGTGCCGAGAGGCAGCCTTCAAAGGCACATTCGCAGTCACGCACAGTCACGATCCCGAGGAGGGGGGAAAGAAGAATCGGGAACAGCACCAGCAAGCGCCAGAATGAATCCCGCAGCGTCTCCTTCTTTCCAGGAATAATGATGCTCGGAAATGCTGTTCCCGTTTAGAATGGCTCCCCCCGCCGCCCCACCTCCTCCTGTCTGCCCTGGAAAACCCAGAAACGCCTCAGAGTAAACAGATGGTCCACTGTGAAATCACCAGGCAGTTCAGAGAAAATGATATTATACTAGGGGGTAGGGAGAAAGAGGCGAGGACAATCGGATCATGTGAGGCGGGGTAATTAATGAGAACTGCAGGCGGCTCGCACACAGCCAGGGGCAATGGAGAGATCCACACAGGGTGGGCAAGCAGACTGATGGGAAGTAGTCTACTGGATGTATGTTTGCATTTTTACCTATTTCCTGTTTTATACACTACTGCTTCCTGCAAAACCTGGCTCTCCAACTTCAACATCTTCTTGGGCTTCTTCTGCTTTGGGCTGATAAACTCACCGATCAGATTCCAAACCTCAGACGAGTATAGACACTATCAGGCTGTTCCTTGCTTTTCAGACATGTTCAACATGTTATTCGGGGTGAAAGGGTTCTTAATTTCTGCATGTTTAATAACAATATTGTCTTTTTTAAGACTAGTGAATGTCTAGCCTTGCATGATGCACAGAGGTCAAAGCTACCAGATACTGCTGTGTTTGTGCCTGCTCCATTTTATGCCAAGTGTTGTACCCAATATATATTAACTGCTTTACACCTACCGATTAGGCCCCCAACCAACCTTCAAGATGTCAGTACTTTTGTGTAAAGAAAGTGTAAAATGTTAAAGTCAGAGGTTCCCTGTTCTGGTTTCTTTCTGTCTGTTCTGAGTTGACTACCACCTCCTGCCAAGAAGACTGACAGTACATTCCTCTTTGTATGGGAAAATGATGGCAAAATGAGCTCTGACAGATTGGCAAATATGGTCATTCAATGAAACTGAAAAGACCTGTCAAAAAATGAGTTGCATGACTATTTTTCATCATTCCTCTGCTGGGTGTCTGTGAAAGGAAATTAACTGCACAGTGTGTCTTCCCTGTCAAGGGAGAGACCCACATGCGGACTATACTGTATTTAGACACATAGATATTTAATTTTTCTATTATGTTTGTATCTCACACTCCCACAATTTTGCTGTTAAGTCTGACCTTTGTTCTGAAATTCTGATGGAATATGAAAGCATACTATTGCTATCTGCTCCTCCTCCACTGCAGTGTGGTAAACAATTTGGAAGCCTGATAACCATTCTGCGGCAATCCCACACATTCAGCAATGCAGGAGTGAGATCTAGCCCATTAGACATGGTGATGTCATTAATGGGGCTAGAGAGCTTAGTGCATACAGAGGGAAAGTGGTTGTACAGTATGCCAAAGACCACGCTAGTATATCATAACAAATATAGTGCGGATCCTGGGGATGACATTGCAATTTCATCTGATTTTTTTAATTCTGTCTAAATAACTTTACAGCTATAAAGACAATTTAATTTAGGAGAGGTTCTGTTCTGCCTCTGAGGCTGCAGGGTGCAGAAGTGACATCCCTGTAAACTTCCTGTCTAAAAGTGACCAGAATTCCCTAGGGCTGAACACAGTGGCTAAGCACCTGAGGTGGGTGTGAGTGAGCCAGGGTGTCCTGGGGTTGCTGTGATGTCACTCCTCCTATCGGTGCTCAAACCATGCCAAGCTTTCAGAGTGTCAGATGAGAAGGGATTCTGACAGGTGGACTGATCAGAAGGGTACATGCACAAGTCCTGTACAGTACCGAGGATGAAGCCATAACCTGCGATGATTAGTAATTGGTTGTTCCAGTGGTTACCATTGCTGCTTTGCAGCACCCTGGAGCCCTGGGTTCAATTCTGGACCTAAGAGTTTGTATGTTCTCCCCGTGTTCATGTGGGTTTCCTCCAGTGCTACGGTTGCCTCCCACAGGCCAAAGACATACTGGTAGGATAATTGGCCCTGGTGTGAGTGTGTCTGTGCTTGTGTCTGTCTGCCCTGCAATGAACTAGTGTTGTAACCTGCTATGTGCCTGTTTGTAGCTGGGATAGGCTTCCCAAGACCCTGAATTGGATAAAACAGTTAGAAAATGGATGGATTTTCCACGATTCTCAATTCAATCAATTCAATGCATGATTTTGCAAATGTTATTGTTTTGTACCTAGTTGGGCTTTATGAGATAACAGTGGCATTAAACATTCAGAGACGTCAGGGTCAGTTCACTGTCCCAGAGTTTTGTGCTTTGTAAGTAAGTGATTTGGCAAATTCAAGCCATGGTTTAAAAGTACTGAGTTTATTTCAAAATTTTCTTTAAGAATGGCTAATTTAGGCTTTATTTTTCATCTGTTATAATTCCCGTGGCCCTGCTGTAAATTTCCAAAGAAATTGCAGGAAAACTCACCATGAAATGTTCTCTGTCGCTTTTATAGAAATCATCATGTCTCAAACGATCCTGCTTCTGAAATGCAAAGCACTTTTATCTCCTTCTTCGGTTCCGCCAATTCCAGGTAAAGCCCATTCTTCATTCTTTCCTAGCAAGGAAAATTCCTGTCATGTGTCTTACACAGAAACACAGTGGCGGATAACAGTGATATGGGAATGAATATTAATTAGCTCTCACCATTTCACGATGCTGAAAGGCTGTACCATCTAAAGAAAGTTCCAATTCCGCTTTGTGCCTATAAAGTTTTCAGCCTTGGACAAATGTTTTGTCCTGGATCGGGGACAAACATAACTGAAGTGAAACAGGTGTATATCTGTGTCTTCTTGATAGAGCCTGAAACATGGTCCCTGTAAGAGGATTACAATGGCTGCTCTAGAAACGGGCTTGAGTGTGACCTGGGAGGCCAGCCGTCACAGTGCAGGAGCTGAGCAGAGCCCAGATCCCCAGTATCGCATTAAGCTTTCTCAGAATCACTGGCAGAGACTGTATCCTCCTGCTGTCGAAAAGTCCACTTCACTTAATCAAGCTCACAATAATGACTTTGCAGGCACACACAGTGTACCTGTCATCCAGTTGTGTCACCCTGGATGTTCAGTTCCTGGAGGATCATTGATTGATCACACCTTTGTCTCAACTCGTTCCTTATTTATTCATTGATCTAATTACCTACTTATGTGTAGCTTTCAAGCTACTGTTTTCCAGAATAAAGTGCATGCACCTCCCAAATCACCTGAAACAGTGTGAAAGTATGCCCTATCAGCAGATAACGGAATCAATTGGTTTATGTGCAAATAAAGACCCAATCTTCCTCCAGTGTCTGCACAATGACATCCCCCCAAATCACTTTCCACCCCATGTAGGATGTATTTGAATTAGAAAAATATACAGAAATGTGAAAAGGGGGCTTGTGGTCGGGGCGAAATTCATTTGTAAAAGTGATTCCTTCCGTTTCAAGGCAGAAGCTGAAAAGCAATGCTTTTCTGTTCGCAGTCCAGTTGTAGCCAGCAGGTAGTCTTTACAGAAGGCTAATGGATTCCACACAGACAAGGCCTCAAGTGCTGTGTGCACCTCTAGGCCTGCAGACTGCTCAGCCACTGCGAATGGGCACCTTGTCTGCTTCAACAGCTATTCGTTGAAAAGCTGCAGCCCTCCCTGGCTTCCGATGAGCCTCGCTGATGACCTGCCTGATCAGGAGAAGAAGCACTGGTCAGACCCCTTGTACTCAGGAGTTTGAGCCCCTGTGAGGCTAGCCAGTTACAGGCTAGTACATGTGAGCCGACATCATCTGTCCCGTCTTATTTTGCTCGTTGCCTTATTTGGACTGAATCTCCATCGGCTGACGCAGAGTTCATTGATACAAAACATACTGGCTTTTCTGCTTCATCGGTGCAGTTTGTGCAAGAGCCCTCAGCTTGCTAAACCTGTGTGCATCAGAGTTTGAGAATCCAGTCTCATGCCTTCCAGGGGTTCCAGTCTCTGCTAGTCTCTGCTCAGAAACCTGTTTAAGAGGTCAAATGTAAAATGCCATCACCTCTACATATAAGAATGAAAACAGGAGGCACTTTTTCACACAGAGGGTGATCTAAAACAGTCTACCTTACCATGTTACTCATAGAGACTCCCAGCATTTCAAGAAACCACTGGGGGACATCCATAGGTTATTAATCTATTAGCAATCAAACAGCTATGATGTGTCCAAATTCATCTTATTTGTCACCTTTCTTGCATATCTCCGGTTTCTGCTTTGCCCTTTAAGTAGTGCATTACCACCTGTCATAGCAGACTTGTGAAATCCCTTATGTCTTCCACAGTGAGTCTTGCTTTGAAAGATAAGCTGTGTGTTACTTCAGAATGCGAATCAAGTGGTCAGTGGGATGTGACAGTTTTCTGCAATGGCAGGATCTGTTCCCGTTTTCCTGTTTTGTTCGGTTCCGATTCCGAAGTGGCATCTTGAAAGATTCCAGCGCTCCGTCCTCTGAATATAAAAAAGGGGGGCTTGGTGGGAGGAGGGGGGTGGATGAGGAGCAGAAGGAAGGGCTGCCTTTTGAGAGATGCCATTCAGAAAGAAAAGGAGTTCAGTCTGTTGAAATGTTGGTCACGTGTCCCATGTAAGGATTCGTAAGCTGTCACCTGCTGTTTCAAAGTTCAACCATCCAGGCCTGTGGCTGGGTCCGTGGTTCCTAGTGGCCAGTGGTGCTGGGCTCCAGGCCAAACTTTCCATCTGATACCTACTGTAGCAGAGACAGCCAGGGCCCAAGCTAATTCCTGGAAATTACAGAGATTGTGCCCAAGAGAGCCAACAGAGATTACTGTACTTTCTTTAATCATTGAGTGCTGAGAATGTACAGTGCATGCAAGTATATAAGAGTAGTAATGCTAAAAAATCATCTTCATGACAGTCACAACTGAATATTTCAGTACCTGAATCAGCCTCATGGCATTTCTTTTTCTGACCAGTATTTTTATTGCATTTTACATCCACCAAAATACATGGTGCTTAGTCATTATGCAAAAAAGGTGGAAGGCCAGCTCTAACAGGTTTTCTTCTTGCCAACAGATTTAGGTCTAGGGTGTAGACAGGAAGCTCAAAGTCTCAAAGTAGTTCAGAAATGGTTGCCAAGCTTTAAAAAATGTAATGGTTGACCATCTAAGAGTGTATCTAATTTTCTCCAATTTAAGAAACTGCATAATTATTCACGACATTTCTTTATGCACAGGTTGGCAACTATAGATAACTCCATAATACATTTAGTAACATCCTTCCATTTTGTTATGTTAAAGTGTTCTAATACAATTCCCTAATTGAGAAATGGGCTTTCTGTAACATGCACAACTCACAAATACAAGTTGTATTTGTTGTACCAGTGCAACTGAACCCAGGACCCGGAGTTGTGAGACAGTATTTCTAAACATCATGCTGCCTGTTTCCACGTTGATATACTGAACTGGTATCGTCTTGTGAATCATTTTGTGTGTTTTGGCTTCCTACTGCAATCCTGTTTCTGTGTAATGTGAGAATCGGTTATTTCAGACCTTCGCTGTTCCTGAAACGCTTAACTAGAAGGTTGATTTATTTTTGTTTAAATATTTTGTCTGCCAGGATCTGGATTATTCAAGCAGGGTCAGGCTGAGCTCACTACAGCTGCTGCAGTAACTGAAGTGTAAAACCGACAACCGAAAACAGTCTTTGTGTCGAAAGTATTTGTGATAAACTGTTTCTTGGCTTTTATGTTTTTTTTAGTAGGATTCTTTTTTATCTAGGTTATTTGCTATCCTTTACACAAGACCTTTTTAAAAATAAAGTTGTCTTTATATTATGTGTTGCTGGGTCCTAAAAATGTCGGTATTATCAATACTTATCTTAAAATGGGGTATTTTTCCCTCGCCTAATAACAGGTGGAGGGAGAGAGAGGAGCAAATAAGATACTCCATTACAACCATTAATGGAGTCCATCTGGTTTAGGAACTGAAGAGATTCAAGCTACATTTAGTGAAAGGATCTATAGTTTTCTAGTTTTCATCCATCCATCCATTTTCTATCTTTTTCTTCCAATTCAGGATTGCTGGGGAGCCGGAGCCTATCCTGGTAAGAAAGAGGGGCAAAATAAGGCAGACGCTGGACACCAGTCCAGACACATAAATCACACCAGGCTGGTTTTCCCAAAGCCCAATTAACCAACCACTATGTTTTTGGATTCTAGGAGGAAACACACACAAACACAGGGAGAATATACAGACTCCACACATATGACACACAAGGACTGGAACTGAACCCACAGCCCCAACACTATAAGGAAGCAATGCAAACCACTGCACCACCGACTCCTCTGTGGCTTATTGAAGATAGATAGATCTTTATTGATCCCATGACGGAAATTGCAGTGCAACAGCAGCTTAACACAGTCAACACAGCACAGTGTAACAAAATTATACAATAATACAATACATACAATACAATCAGTACAGTCAGTGAGAGGTGCACTGAGAAGAGCTACTCACAGTCCAGAATATACAAACAACAAACCAGAACAGTACACAAAAGGTTGTATTGCACAATATAAATATAAATGCATTGCACAAGTCCCTGGCATATATTGCACAAAAACGGTTGTAAACTATATACTTATAGTATATTTGTGGAAATATTGAAGTTTCAAATCTGCCAGGCAGAGGAGTTTATTACTCTTGTTTATTTAGATGCATCTTTATCAGAGACCAGAGGTTGTCTCCTTTTAAGAATCAGCTCACAGGGCAGGTTCATCTGTGAAGGATTAGTGATTTTATGAACACTGCCCTGCTTTCTTTTATAAAGATTTATGTCCACTTCTGAGTGCATTATGTTCAGTGTTGGGGATCTGGTAGGTAAAGCCGAATGTAAAGTTTAGGCTCTTAATCACATTCCAGCTATACATAGTAGTTTTGTGGATACTGATTTGTGTATTTTGTGTCTTGTAGGTTTCTGTAGTAAGTGTTTGTCTTTAAGCGTACTAACTTCCAAACAGGCTAGATGGGCCTAATTTGTAACCTTTTTTACACTCCTATGTCCCTCAGCTATCACCCGTTTATCTTACCACCACCAAACTGTTAAAGAAAAATGAAAGATGCCTCATGGCCTTGTTTAGTGTTTCCTGTCCAGTGGGGCTGTTTTATCATTTAACTTTCACTATTTGCCTCTAACTGAGCTGGAGTCAGGATGACTAATATTTAACTACTATCTAACTTCTTTTGTCATTAACATCATATTTGTAAGACTCTCTAACAGTAAATAGACTCCCTATTTATAGCAATGTTTTAAATCATATTAGCATAAAATAAAATAAGCAGAAGTGTCGTGTATTAGAAGAACTTAATATCCAGGGCCACATGGTATTAATGTTAGATTCACAGAGTCTAAGGCACCTGAAAAATCAGAGTACACGTAGACCTTCCAGGATCTGGCTAGAAATGTTACAAACAACAGGAGACTAATCAGGCCACAAATCTCACCCAGCCATTCAGTAAAAAAAGACAGGATATCAGCAAATCAGCTTCAACAATATGTCTGGGCAGCTTGTCCACCACCCTTTGTGTCCTGACAGGAGGATTCCATCCAGATGTTTCTTGAAAGAAGAAAAAAGGATTATCAGTTTCAACAACATGTCTGCACAACTTGTTCCACACTCCCACGACCCTTTGCATAAAGACACACCTCCTGTTTTCATTGGTAATCATTTAAAGACTGCCTTGTTGTAATAAAAAATGTCAGCTGCCAGGCATGTTTAT